ACTGCCCCGCAGCCCTGCCCCACAGCCCCAGCTACCCAGCCCTGGGCTCCCCCAGAGCAGCCTGTGCCCTTCGCTCCTGACCCATAGCCCCAGCAGGCCTCATCGTCCAATCCCAGTGCTGCCAGTGCCTCTCACTCCTGACCTGTACCCCCTTCTAGCCCTGTCCTGCTCCCCCCAGCCCTGCTAGTGCCCATCACTCCCAACCCACAGCTCCTGCCAGCCCAGCCCTGGGCCCCACTCACCCCTGCCTGTGCCCCTCAAGCCCGACCCGCAGCCCCTGCAAACCCAGTTCTGCCCCCATGGCTGATCCACAGCCCCTGCTAATTGCTCAGCCCCGGGGTCAAGACCCACAGTCCCTGCCAGCACAGCTGTGTTCTGACCTGCAGCCCCTGCTAGCCCAGTCCTGACCCCCCAGCCCAGCCTGTGCCCTTCGCTCCCGATCCATAGCCCCGGCCAGCCTAGCCCTACAACCCCAGGACTGCCGGTGCCTCTCACTCCTGACCCACAGTTCCTGCTAGACCAGCCCTGCTTCCCCCAGTCTTGCTAGTGCCCCTCACTCCCAACCCCTCACTCACCCTGCCCTGTTAGTGCCCGTCACTCCCAGCCCGCAGGCCCTACCAACCCAGCCCTGAGCCCCCCCTTCAATGACGGTGCCCCTGACTCTTGGGCTACAGCCCTAGGATGATGACCCGCAGTCCCTGCTAGCTCAGCTGCATTTCTCCAGTTCCCTTCGCCCCCCAGCCCTGCCTGGGGCTCCCGGCAGCCCTGCCAATGCCCCCATGCCCAATCCACGTCCCCTGCTAGCTCAGTTCTGGGCTCCCCCCAGACTCTGCTTTTGCCCCCGTGTCTGAGCTCTTGGGACCCGGGAATCCTTTCATCCCTGGTTTCCCAGCTGCTGGGTGGGGTGTGAGGGATGCAGCTCTGTCCCCTCATCTCTACCTTGGGAGCACAGCCTGCCCTGAGTTACCCCAGCACACATAGGCCGTGCATGGAGGGCCATGTGCTGCATCCTGCCCCACTACGGCCTCTGCACACGGGGACATGCCCCAACCTCTCTTCAGAGATTAGAGGAGACCTCAGCCTGCCTGGCTCCCAGCCCTCTGCTCAACCACTAGCCCCCACTCCCCTCCCAGAGCTGGAAAGCGAGCCCAGGAGTCCTGGCCCCTCTCTCAAGCGCACACAGCTTCCCTAATGGGTCTCTCTGCAGTAGGAGAAAGCCCCCCGCACTCACGTGAGAAGTCAAGAGTTCACAGGCCAAATGACCAGCCGTGGTCACCTGCCCTTCACTCCTCATCTGCAGACCCACAGCTCTGCCCTGGGTTTCCCACAGCTCTGCCAGTGCCCCTCAGCCCCATTCTGCATCCCCTGCTAGCTCAGTTCTGGTCTCCCCCCAGATTTGTGCTGGTGTCCCCATTCCTGAGTTCTTGGGCCCTGGATCCCCTTCACTCCTAGGTTCCCAGCTGCTGGGTGGGGTGTAAGGGATGCCTGGGGGGAGGACAGCCTGCCTTGAGTTACCCCTGTCAGGCTGTGCATGGGGAGCCATGCGCTGCACCCACCCCCACTACTCTGTCTGCACAGAGGGAAAAGCTCCACTGCTCTTCAGAAATCAGGGGAGAGCTCAGCCTGCCTGGATCCCAGCCCCACCTCTTCCTCGGCCACTAGACCCCCACTCCCCTCCCAGGAAGGGGAGAGAACCCAGGAGTCTTACCTGTTCTCTCAAGCGCTCATGTTTTCCCGAACGGGAGCAGCATAGTATTTGCGCAAGAATACTGACAATCTTACATTAGATCATCAGTGTTCTTGCGCAAATTCAAGTGGCCAGTGTAGACACCTGCCAGTCTAGTCGCAGCCCATAGGTATGCAGTATTCAAGATGTGGGTGTACCATGAAAGTAAGGCAGAGAGAGAGAGACTGAGAGACTGATCACACACAGTCAATGGCAGAGTGAGGTAGAGAACCCAGGAGTTCTATATCCCAAACTCCTGGCTCTAGATTGGACAATGCCCGGTACTGGCATCCCACTGAGCCCAAGAAATGGTTAATTTCACAGAATGGAGAGCTGTTCCCAATAACCAGAGGTGGCATTTTCCCGAGGAACCAAATGCAATAAGATGCCGAGATAGCAGGATAAAAGACCCCTTCCATCTATCCCAGTTTCTGCAGCTAGGAAACAGCCCAACGTTTTGACCATGGAAATGAAATTCAAGGATTTTTCTGGGCTCCGAAGAGGCGCTGTGTCACTAACTTTTGGCTTGTTAAGCCTCGGTCTGAATCAGTGCACATGTAACACCTGCAACATTAGCTGTGGAGGAATAGTAAATATTACGCACTCGTGAGGCTCCTAAGTTCATTGCTAAGATCATCAGCCCCCTAGTGGCCCATTATTGATTCTCTTGCTCACTCAGTTGATTAGTATCCTGGGAAGTCCCTGGGCCCTTTGCAGGAAAGTCTGGGACTTTCCAAGTCAGCTCAGGGCATTTTGCTCATTGGGTAAGAATTCATGTTAATATCATCCAGTTACTATTAACCCTGGTTCACAGAGAGTGACAGTGAGGCAGTTAGGGGGAGAGCAGGGGTTATGGTTGGGGGTAAAATTGTTCTTTAAAACTAGTAACATAATGGTCTAGAAAACCCAAGGGTATGTCTACACTACAGCACTATTTCGAATTAAATCAAAATAACACATCTATATACAAAAACTATTTTGAAATAGTGTTTTGCTATTTCAAAATAGAGCATCTACACTGAGTAGGCCCTGAACCAACAACCCCATCCTTCCCAGGTAAGTGCTCTATCCCCTAGGCTATGGACCCGCAGTCCCAGCCAGCACAGCTGTGTTCCGACCTGCAGCCCCAGCTAGCCCCGTCCTGCCCCCACAGCCCAGCCTGCGCCCTTCACTCCTGATCCATAGCCCTAGCCATCCTAGCACTACAACCCCAGGGCTGCTGGTGCCCATCACTCCTGACCCACAGTTCCTGCTAGCCCAGCCCTGCTTCCCCCAGTCCTGCTCATGCCCCTCATTCCCAACCTGGACCCGGTGCTAGCCCAGCCTGGGGCTCACTCAGCCCTGTTAGTGCCTGTCACTCCCAGCCTGCAGGCCCTACCAACCCGGCCCTAGGCCCCCCTGCAATGACGGTGCCCCTGACTCTTGAGCTACAGCTCCTGCTAATTGCCAAGCCCTGGGATCATGACCCGCAGTCCCTGCTAGCTCAGCTGCATTTCTCCAGTTCCCTTTCTGCCCCTCACTCACGTCCCCCAGCCCTGTCTTGTGCTCCCCGCAGCCCTGCCAATGCCCCCATGCCCAATCCACGTCCCCTGCTAGCTCAGTTCTGGGCTCCCCCCAGACTCTGCTTTTGCCCCCGTGTCTGAGCTCTTGGGACCCGGGAATCCTTTCATCCCTGGTTTCCCAGCTGCTGGGTGGGGTGTGAGGGATGCAGCTCTGTCCCCTCATCTCTACCTTGGGAGCACAGCCTGCCCTGAGTTACCCCAGCACACATAGGCCGTGCATGGAGGGCCATGTGCTGCATCCTGCCCCACTACGGCCTCTGCACACGGGGACATGCCCCAACCTCTCTTCAGAGATTAGAGGAGACCTCAGCCTGCCTGGCTCCCAGCCCTCTGCTCAACCACTAGCCCCCACTCCCCTCCCAGAGCTGGAAAGCGAGCCCAGGAGTCCTGGCCCCTCTCTCAAGCGCACACAGCTTCCCTAATGGGTCTCTCTGCAGTAGGAGAAAGCCCCCCGCACTCACGTGAGAAGTCAAGAGTTCACAGGCCAAATGACCAGCCGTGGTCACCTGCCCTTCACTCCTCATCTGCAGACCCACAGCTCTGCCCTGGGTTTCCCACAGCTCTGCCAGTGCCCCTCAGCCCCATTCTGCATCCCCTGCTAGCTCAGTTCTGGTCTCCCCCCAGATTTGTGCTGGTGTCCCCATTCCTGAGTTCTTGGGCCCTGGATCCCCTTCACTCCTAGGTTCCCAGCTGCTGGGTGGGGTGTAAGGGATGCCTGGGGGGAGGACAGCCTGCCTTGAGTTACCCCTGTCAGGCTGTGCATGGGGAGCCATGCGCTGCACCCACCCCCACTACTCTGTCTGCACAGAGGGAAAAGCTCCACTGCTCTTCAGAAATCAGGGGAGAGCTCAGCCTGCCTGGATCCCAGCCCCACCTCTTCCTCGGCCACTAGACCCCCACTCCCCTCCCAGGAAGGGGAGAGAACCCAGGAGTCTTACCTGTTCTCTCAAGCGCTCATGGCTTCCCTAAGTGCGTTCACATGGTAGGAGAAATCCCCCCACACTCAAATGACAACCCAAACATTCACTGACCAAATTTCCAGGCATGGTGGGTCATGGCCAGGCACCCTGGGCCGGGGGTTCTATCCGGGAGCCCAGCGTTGCTCAGTGTCTGTCGTGTCGTTTGTATGAGGAATCTGTGCCTGTGAGACAGTCCCTCTCGTCCCCACAAATGAGTCAAGACAATTGTCATCTGAGAACTTTGGACCACCCCCAACGGGGGCTCTCAGCGCGAGAGCTGGTTAGAAAGCGTAAAATTCCCACAGCTGGGCGAGGGCCGAGGTGGGAACCTGGGGTCCAAAATAACAGATGCGAGTTTCACTGGTGCCAACTTCCCCTTTTTAGCCACATTGTTTGTTTATTTATTTGTTGGTTGTTTCCCCGCAGGGAGATGGGCATGAAAACTGCAGAGCTCAGAGATATTCGAGATTCCAGGAGTGGGGAGGTGGGAATCACAGGTTTGAAAGAGACCTCGGGAATCATCGAGACCAACCCACTGCCCAAAGCAGGACCAACCCCAACTCAACCATCCCAGCCAGGGCTTGGTCAAACTGGGACTTAAATACCTCTAGGGATGGTGTTTCCACCCCCTACCTAGGGAACCCACCCCAGTGCGTTCCTACCCTCCTAGTGAGATAGATAAATCGATCGATATATCAATAGATGTACATTTGAAGAGTTATCTTATACGCTATTTTTTTCTACCATCAGGGAACACAGCCCCATCTGTCTTCCCCTTGGCTTCCTGCTGCACCAGCACAAGCCGCACTTGCCGGGATAGACAAGTCGTTTGTCTCGTGACTGGCTTTTCACCATCATCAGTGAAAATCCAATGGAATTCTGCCGGAGTGACTCAGAAGGGCAAAAATTTCCCAGAGATGATGGCCAGGAACGGGCTTTATACCCAGACCAGCATGCTCACCATCCTTGCCAGTGACTGGAAGAGCGATACCTACCAGTGCAGTGTGACACATGACGGGACAGGGAAAACAGTGTCCAAGAAGTTCCTGGAGGAATGTAAGACAAGCGATGGGGGGCAGAAGGGACAGCCAGGCCTAGACTTTCAAAGCTCCATGTGGACCTGTCACCAATTAAATTGGATCCACATCCCTGTTGGGACCTTTGGGGGAGGAGGACTGGATTTCACACTGGAATACTGGGCAAGTGTTGACCAAGTGTTGAAACACAGGGCACGCCCTCCGTGCCCCCTGCTTCCATCCCTCCCGATAGATCAAATGAAGTGGGAAAGCTTAAGGTGAAATGCGCACATGGGCAGAGCCCTGTCTTCCACTTAGGGGGTGATTTTCCAGTCCTCCTTCACGGATTTAGATCCGCGATTTCGTTGGAATATGGTGTCCACATCCCTATGGTGGGATAGGTCCAGCACAGCGCTGGGCTGACATGGCCCAAAATTCTCATGCTGTCCCTTCTGTATCGGGGGAAATGTTACTTCATAGCCTTACTCCTTAACCCTAACCCTAACCCTAATCCTAACCCTAACTGCTTGGCTGTGTCTAGACTGGCAAGTTTTTCCAGAAAATCAGCCGCTTTTCCGGAAAAACTTGCCAGCTGTCTACACTGGCCGCTTGAATTTCTGGAAAAGCACTGACGATCTCATGTAAGATTGTCAGTGCTTTTCCGGAAATACTATGCTGCTCCCGTTTGGGCAAAAGTCTTTTTCCGAAAGACTTTTGCGCAAAAGGGCCAGTGTAGACAGCACAGTGTTTTCTGCAAAAAAGCCCCGATTGCGAAAAAGAAAAGCATCCTGCCAATCTAGACACGCTTTTCCGAAAATGCTTTTAACAGAAAAGTTTTCCGTTAAAAGCATTTTCGGAAAATCATGCCAGTGTAGACGTCGCCCTTGTGTAGATACATCAGCCAATGAAGTACAAAGCCCAGCTTTGTTTGTACAAAAGGATCCAAAGCAAATTCAGGGTAATTCAGGGCAGCTGCCTTATGAGCGACCCCACTAACTCAGCTTTCCTGGATGTATGCCAGGCCTACTGCCTGGTCCTCATACAGAGATGTTTCCCTCAGGTGTTTTCCTCAACAAAGAGCCAGAAGCCTTCCCTTCCCCTGCTGATCCCATGGAACTATCCAGCCCATAATACCAGCCATCCAGGCCCCAGAGTAGCAAATCTAGGCATTCAGGGGTCAGAATTTCGGCTGCTGTAAATCAGCTCATTTCCACTGAAGATAGTGACGTTTCATCCATAGTCAGACAAAATTAGCCCTTTCCCAGGATTTCACCTGCTGCCATGTCATGGTATGCTGCACCACAGTCCCTCTTACACAGGGGGCACTTCTTGAGAAAAAGAAGTTCAAACAAACATGGCTCAAATTCCAGCTTTGTCCCTGTTGTTTACCAGGGAGAACACACTTAAGGCAACCCAGGGAGAAACAACCCAGGGAGGCATTTAGGATTTACATAAAATAATGAAGGGCCCTGTTCCCATTTGCTTTAACAACTTATATGTCTGTGAAAAATCTGAGCCCTCAAGTGTAGAATGTAAACATGCCCCGAAGAGGGGAGGGTTTTGCTGGAGGTGGGTTGACCGCAGTGTCATCACTCTCTCTGGAAGGGGACTGGTGATCCACAGAGAGTGACCCTGAACCATCTTGTTCCTTCTCTCTACTCTAAGCATGTGGTCCAATGATCCCGCCCCAGGTTCATCTCTTGGTCCCCTCCTGTGAGGACGGCTCCATGGATAATTTGCTGGAGCTGGTTTGCCTTCTTCTGAGATTCCGACCCGACAAAGCCAACGTGAAATGGCTGGTGAACAATAAGGAAACGAGTCTCCCCACCACCGTCTTCTCCTCTTCGTTGCATGCAGACGGCTCCTACATGAGCCAGAGCCGGCTGAACATCAGCAAGCAGAGCTGGGAAAACGGGGACATCTTCACCTGTCAAGTGACTCATCCAGCTGGGGAAACGGAGCCTTCCGTGTACAACACCAGCAAGTGCTTGGGTGAGGGCTATGGGAGTGAGGTGTGGGGATGGGGTATGGAGAGTTACTGAGAAACCTGTCCTGCCTAAGGGTAGGTTGGGCAGCACCTAGACCCCAGGGTGATGGCTGAGGTGGAGACATGATAAAGAGGTCTGTACCATAGACGGACGGAAAGAGCACGATTGGATGGATGCTGTACATGTTGTGGAGGGGGCAGAGAGATGGATAACTTGAGATCTGCTGGATGAATCTTATTCTAGTTCACAGTTGGAGGTTGGAGAAGACCTCCTGAGATCTCTTGCAATTCTCATTGTCTAGAATTCCCATCTAGGGTTGATGTTTCTTGTTGTTACCTCATGGCGGTAGCTAGAACAAGTGCATTCTCCGCAGTGCTTTAGGGGATGAGCACCGGATAAAAGGAACCCAAGAGCCCCTTCTCCTGGGATTTCCATGCCTTTAAGGGTGTGGGTAGCTGGGATGAGTCTTGGTGCATCCTTAAATGTTTCTAAACAATGTTATTGATAGTGATCTCTTTGCATTTCTCAGCCTGCCCCAAAAGCTCACTTGAGCCAACCCTTTACTTGGCCAAACCCTCCTACGAAGATGTGATCAAGAATTTGGGTCATGTGACCTGTCTGGTTTTGGGTTATGACTTAGAAGCCACCACAATCACCTGGCAAGTGGAGGGGAAAGTCAGCTCTGCAGGGAAAACAGAATCCCCAAAAAAGAACAACAATGGGACGATCAGCCTGGTCAGCTCCCACCCAGTGTCGCTCTCACAGTGGGGACAAGGCACCAGATTTACCTGCAAAGTGAGAACGCTCTGTTCTGGAGAACTCACCCAGCACATAAACATGGTCAATAAAGGTGAGCAGCCTTTGCATGGCAAAGGGAAAGGCAAACTCTAGTCTTTGTCAATTGGTGGCTATCTGCGTAATGGTAAAACCCACTTGAGGGTGAGGAGCGTATTGATCCTCGGTAACGAGATTGAGATGGTATCCGTGACAATTTTGAAGGAGGATGAGAGAAATAACATCAGAATGCCGAAAAAGGGGAAGACATACACGTTTAGTTGAATTTTTGGATGAAGATCCGTGTCCTTCAAGTTTCCCAGAAAACGATGCTTAGTGCTTGGGTTGGTGTGATCTAGCTTCACTCCCTCCCTGAATTTTTTCATTCCCTGGTCACTTTACAGAGTGATAGTGGCTTCAGCTGAGTGCTTAAGTTACAATGGGGGAGGTCTAGGTTGGATATTAGGAAAAACTGTTTCCCTAGGAGGGTGGTGATGCACTGGAATGGGTTCCCTAGGGAGGTGGTGGAATCTCCATCCCTAGAGGTTTTTAAGTCTCAGTTTGACAAAATCCTGGCTGAGTTGATTTACTTGGTATTGGTCCTGCCTTGGGGAGGGGCCTGGACTTGATGATCTCCTGAGGTCTCTCGCAGTCCTATAATTCTATGGTTCTACGATTCTTGTATGTCCGACTGAGTCTTACTCTTGTCTTTTCCCTCTTCCTTTTCATGTAGACATGGCTAAGAAGGAGCCTTCCATCACCATCTCAAAAGCCTACCATGAAAATCTCTTGGGGACCAAAGAGTCCTTGACTCTCGTCTGTGAAGCTAGCGGCTTTTACCCCGAAGACATCAGCATCTCCTGGTTGAAGGATAACTCCACGGAACTCACGGCCAGTTACAACAGTGGCCCCACGGCAGGAAGTGGCACCTTCTCGACCTACAGCATCCTGAAGGTCAATCGAAGCGAAGGAGCAGAAATCTGCACCTGCATGGTGCATCACCCGGCCTTGGAGGAGCCCAAGAGAGTGGAGGAAAAGGTGTCCTTCGGTAAGTGGATTCTGAGATGCAGGGGTTAATTTGGGACTGCATGCTTTCTTGACTCATCCAGTCAATGGCATGAACAAGAGCTTGAGTCCATGAGTGCCCTGTTTTGGGTGGGAAAGGCCTCACTGATGGATTTCTGTCTCCATTATGAAGCCATCTTTGGTAAAACCAAGGGCTGTGTCTACACTGGGCCACTTATTCCGGAAAATCAGCTGCTTTTCTGGAATAAGCTGCGAGCTGTCTACACTGGCCCTTGAATTTCCGGAAAAGCAATGATGCTCTACTGTACAAAATCAGCCGCTATTCCGGAAAAACTATTCTGCTCCCGCTCGGGCATAAGTCCTTATTCCGGAACACTGTTCCGGAAAAGGGCCAGTGTAGACAGCCCAGTAGTCTTTTCCGGAAAAAACCCCAATCGCGAAAATGGCACTCGGGGCTCTTTTCCGGAAAAGCACATCTACATTGGCCACGGACGCTTTTCCGTAAAAAGGGCTTTTCCGGAAAAGCAGCCTGCCAATGTAGACGCTCCTTTTCCGGAAATACTTATAATGAAAACTATTCTGTTTTAAGCATTTCTGGAAATTCATGCCAGTATAGACACAGCCAAAGAGTGCAAGATTCATTGAAACCTGAGATATGAGGGATTATTGCTCCTATGGGCATTATCCAGTCTGAAATGTCCAAAGCAATGGTCATCTCAACTTACCTCTGGAGGAGATCTTACCACAGCCTTCAGCACCCATCACCACTAAAGGAAGTGCAGGAAACCTGTCCTCTATGCCAGAGGGAATTTTGGGGAGGGAGCAGCATGCCATCTCACTGGGCTGTGATTTGGCCATGACCTTGGGTGGATGCTCTTGCTCTTGGAGGAATGCCATGGCTGGGTGTGGGTTGACTGAAATGTTGCTTTCCCTCTGAGTCATGTCCTTTCTGAGAATGGGTTGCTTCACAATGAGACAAATATTCCTATAGAGGGACATTCACACTTTTGGCTTCCTGATCTGTCTCATTCTCCCCTTTTGAGTCTGGTACCTTCATGGATCTGTAGCTGCTAGAGGTGGCGAGTTACAATCTATTCTAAAGAAGAAGCTGATCTGGTGAGGGGTTGAGTCCCGATGGGATTGAGAAGCTGACGGATGCAGGGAAGCTAAGGAGAGAAACCCCTCAAATCCATCTTTTGCCCCATCTTGGGAGCTGGGGGTCCACATGAATCTGGAATCTCATCTCCACCACCAGCCACATTGCTAATGATCTGAATGAGTGACATCAAGCGTGTGCTTCATGCAACATACATTAGAGGAGATTGTCCCTAGAGGCCAGGGTCCCGATTCTGTGGATGACTCTTTGGGCTACACTGCTTGGGTTTCAGAAAGGATTCAGGCTTTCCCATCCTCCACTGGCTTATAGTGAGAGTTGGGGGGGCCCTGTCCTAAGGGCCATTGGTGGTCAAGGGGGGGCGGGAAATGTAAGTGGCCCTTTTGCCTGTGCAGGGAGTAGATACTTAGGGGGATCAGTTCCCTCCAGAGCTTTGGGTGTAGCTTGGGGTCTAGTGTTAAGAGGATGGCCGAGGTCCTGGGAGTGGGCATTTGCTCTCTGAGTCCCACCTGCCCTCGCTGAGAAATGAGGAGCCACATACTGAGTTGGGGATGTCCGTCAATCTCATTAATTTCACTCTGAAGGGCCCCTGAACAGAGCAAACAGGGAATCTCTGTCCACTGCTGTGTTGTCCACAAGGAGGCATTCTGCCAATAGACTTGGAGCTGTTCCAATTGGCTCAGGAGTTGGCAAAGAGCTAAGGAACCACTATAGGGCCCAGGAATCCCAGCCTTTAGGAGGGTAGGACATCCTCAGTCAGATTTTCTGATGCCCCAGGAGAAGAAGATTCCTTTCCTCCTGGGAGCTCCAAACTCTAACTCCCACCCCGGTCACCTCAGACCCTTCCCCAAACATCACCCGGGATTTGAAGCCCTGAGAGAAAGGCCCCCAATTTCCACCGGTGCTTGGTGAGTATTCATTCCACTCAGTCCTCAATGCTGCCTCCCGCCCCTAAGCAGGTGGCAGTGACTGTCATCGACCCCTTCCGAAGGTCTTCCTTGTTCCGCCATCCCTGGAGGATCTCTACATAGCACAGAACGCCACCATCACTTGTCTGGTGAGTGACTTGGAGACGCCCAGCAGGCCGAATATCTCCTGCAGCAGGAGAAATGGAGACACATTGACTTTGGAGTCCACGGAGCCGGTGCCGCATCCAAATGGCACCTACAGTGCAACCAGCACCTTGCGGGTGTCTGTGGAGGAGTGGCAGGCCGGGGAGGAGTTCACCTTCACCGTGAAGCACCAAGACATCCCATCGGCTGAGGTCAAGACTATCAACAAAAATCGCGGTAAGCCCTAGAGGGGGCACCAGGTGTAATCTGGTACCCAGGCAGCGGGAACTGGCCTGACTCAGAGTGTGGTGAATTCTCCATGGGACCTTGTGAGCCTCGGGGGCGCTAGCCCTGATCCAGCTATAGGTTGGTGAGATGGGGTGTTAGAAATGTGTGGGTGGGATGAAATGGTTGCAGGGCAGAGAAAGTCAGCACAGCATGGTCCTTTTTCCAAGTTTGCAAGGGGAGTGGGATGTAGTGGGTTAGATCAGCAAGGCTTGGAGCCAGGACCCCTGATTCTAGCCTCTTTTCATGCAACTGATTTAGGCCTCAAGGCTTAGTAGGGCCAGAGCTGCTGCACTATATCCATGGCTCTTCAGAGCAGGGGTGGGGCGCATGGGGTAGAGGCAGGCAGTTCCTGGGTCCCTTTCCCACCACTAACTGGTGTTTCCTTGTGGCAGAGGTCTCTCTCCGGGCCCCTTCTATCTATATCTTCCCTCCTCATGCGGAGGAGCTGGCTCTCCAGAAATGGGCCACCATCACCTGCCTGGTCTCTGGCTTCTGGCCCAGAAACATCTTGGTGACATGGACCCGGAAGGACCGAAATATTCCACAGGAAGCCTACACCAACATCGGCCCCATGCGGGAGGCTGGGGAGGAGGAGAGCTACTTCATCTACAGCAAGCTCAGAATCCAGGCCTCTGAATGGCAGAAGGGGGACACCTATTTTTGCATGGTGGTGCATGAAGGCCTGCCCAAGATCTTCAACCAACGGAACGTGGACAAAACCTCCGGTAAACCCACCACTGTCAATGTCTCTGTGGTGTTGTCCGACACTGATGTCTCTTTCCACTGAGGAGCAGAGCACGGTGTATCGAAGATGGCTCCGGTGGCCTCCTGGGGTCTTGCATTCCTCACACAATATGGGTAAAACAGGGCATACGAAGAATGGCTGTGTGTGGAATATGGCTGAATAAAAGTGTAACACCCTTGATTTTTTTGATGATGTGGTGTCACCCAGCAGCAATTGTCTTGGTCTTTCCTGCTTTATCCGCCCATCCTTCCCACCCCACCAGTATGTCATATCCAAACCATCAACCCTCTCTTCTTTCTAGCCATTCTCCGTTCCTTATACATGATTTCTCTCCTTGGTCCACCTGACTCCCCTGGTTTCTGATCCAGGATGCTTGAGGGGTGGAGTGGTCTGGCATTGGGTCAGCGGGGAATCCAACCACAGCACACTGACTTCACAAGGGTGGGAGATACCACTCACTTCCTGTCCCTGGGACACATCCTACCAGGCTTCCTGAGAATCATAGAATCATAGAACCATAGAGCTGGAAGATACCTCAGAAGGTCATCAAGTCCAGCCCCCTGCTCTAGGCAGGACCAATCCCAACTAAATCAACCCGGCCAGGGCTTTGTCAAGCCGAGACTTAAACACCTCTAGGGATGGAGACTCCACTACTTCCCTAGGTAATTCTTTCCAGTGCTTCACCACCCTCCTAGTGAAATAGTTGTTCCTAGTTCGAACTACCTACTTCGTGCCCCGTGTAGCCGTGCTGCACGGGGTTCGAACCAGCGGGGTTTTAAAAATGGCGGCTCCCCGCTTATGCAAATGAAGCCCGGGAAATTCAAATCCCGGGCTTCATTTGCAAGTGCGGTATGCCTACATTACCCTCCTAGTTTGAACTAGCGGGGTAGTGTAGACATACCCTGGCTGGGGATCTGATTCCAGCCGGTCAGGTGTAAGCAGCAGGTCTCTGGTCAGTGTTGTGGGATCTTCATGCTCTTTCACAGTCATTCTTCTTGCGCCTAAGAAGACACGGGGGCAGGCTCAGTGAAATCCGGTCTGTGAATCCTTCCAGCTCTGAGCAATGGAGCCCAGACTGGTGGAGAGGAAAAGCGGCTCCTAATAAGTGGTACCTCATGTGCAATGAATTGGGAGAGGTCTTTACTCTCACCCCTTGACCCTACAATAGAGGTGGTTCAAGGAATTAGTAATGTGGCGTGTAGATTTGTGCGTACAGTTAACTGCAGAGTCACCACAAGTGAAAAATGAGTCAGGTGCCATCACTTCTGTTTCCTGCATCCTGCCAGTATGGGGCCATGATGGCTGGAAGGGGTCTTCCCCTTTTCTAAACATCCCATCATTCTGTATCTTAAGGGTTAAACCCAAACCAGTGGGTCTCCAGGAAGTTTTGGATGGGTGCCAATGGGAAGATGCAGAAGAAATTGGAAATGAAACAGATTTTGCCCGCTATGGTCTCCTTTATGTGTGAGTTCAGAGAGGAGCTGGGAGAGAAGTGGACTGAGCATATCTAAGAAAAGGAAACCTAACCGTTTAACCACAGAGATCTGAGTAGAACAGGGAATGTTTAGTTAGATGCAATCTGGCTATTTTCTTCTTGGTTTCTTCCTTGGCTTGAAAGACTTCTCTAAGCTGATTAAAGACCTCACATAATTACAAGTGAATCCCACAGAGACTATTCTGTGTACTTTAATCTGTTTTTAGATGCTCTGTATCACCTAGATACTAAGTAGGCTTTCTTAAATATATAAGTTTTGTTTGTTAATACAATCTCCTGTTTAAGGCTGTAATCTGATTTCCCTGTCCTAGAAGGCAGGAGGTTCTGTGTCCATGTGTCTGCACTGAAGGGCAGCAATTTGGGGATTATGGTTTGTTTTCCAGTTCTCTCCTGAGGGAGGTTGAAAGAGCTTGGGGTTACCCCGCTGGCTGATGTTCCTGACTTTTCAGGGGGTTTTGCATTTGGGTGGTAGCAGCGTAGCTCCCAAGGTACAAGAGGCTGAGATCTTGGGGGGTTTTTATGCAGTAGCCTTTACTGGCAGGGTAATTTAAGATCTCTTGAGTGCTCCCACCTTCTTCATTCAAAGTGCTTGAGCAGGAACACATTTAACAGGAATGCGGTTGATGGTCTCACCATAACTTCCCTGCTTTCTGTAGAGCTCATGGAGGGTGTAGGTCATTGTACATCATGGATTGAAGATTTGGGTGAAAGATGATGTATGTAGGTCCATGGCCTACATAGGCTACAGAACAGAAGGTTCCTTCCCAGCCCCTCTGGGGGGGTCTCTAGGCAGGATTCTGAAATCAGAGGAGGGATTCTCTGGTCTTGAGGGGTGCAGAAAGTGAGACTGGGTAGTCATCATGATCGTCCATCTCCTGGTCACAGATGAATCTCCTGGTTTGGAGCTGCAAAGTCTCACCCTATTCATGTTGGACAAAGCTCGGCGTTGGGATGGGACAACAATTGTTGCCCTTCCAGGAAAAGACATTGGAGACCCTTAAAAGATGTATTTATTGGATGGCCTCATTAGGATGTCAGCTATAATCAAACACAGAGCTCTCCTCTCTGCGTGGCATCCCAGTTGCACTTGGAGCTGTGCACGCATAACATCTGGCCTATGTGCAGACGAGCTTCAAGTCCAAAGAGACACAGGTCATTAAGGGAAACTGAGGCACAGAGAAGAGAAGCGAATTCTCTGAGGTCCTACAATGTCAGAGAGAGAGAGAGAGAGAGAGAGAGAGAGAGAGCACAGACAGACACAGAGCTCCCTAGTCCCATCCCAGTTTTCTATTCATAGGACCACGCTGCCTCTGGGACAATAAGAATCAGGGGAGGTCTCGGGAAGACTTAGTGGGCAAATTCCACAGGCTAAAATAGGAGTTAGGGAAGAGGCCTCTCTAATTGCCCTGTTTATCCCTGCCCCAGCACCTCTCTGCCTGGTGGAGGACCAAGGGGTCTGTGCAGAAGGAGAAGAGGGGGAATCGGATCCTCTCTGGACACCCGTAACCTTCATCGTGCTCTTCCTCCTCTGCCTGGTATACAGTGCCAGTGTCACGCTGCTTAAGGTGAGAGCCTCAGTCGCCTGCCAGGTCGCACTTCATGGCTTCTAGCAATGACCAGTGCTCAGTCATTGGGCCAGGGACCAGAAACAGGAGGTTGAGAGCACGCTGGCTCTACAGGGAGTGGTTATGTCATGCCCCATGGCCAGTGGCCGCTCCTCTGGGTGGTTTTCCAAGGCTGGAGTCTCCACAAGTCTGGTTCCACCTCGGTGGAGACGTCATGGTGGGAGGCAGGCCTGGTTGGGTGAGGCTCCATGGTCCCAGCCAAGCAGCAAATCCAAAGGTCCATTCTGGCCTTGCTCTCTCCATGTGGGATGCTGCCCATGACTCCAACACCAGCACAAGCTGAACACCTCTGCTCCCTGTGTTCGCAGGTGCAGTGAGTGTCCAGCTCTGGACTCCTCCTTCCTCTTCATGGCCTCCGTCCATTTTAAGTCTCGCTCAGCTCCAACCTTTTGTGAGCCCTCTTGGAGGAGCCACACCCCACGGCAGCACCCCACGGAGAACTGCCCTGGGTTCCACCCATCCAGGAGCAGAAAGGGCAAAGAACTTCCCTGAACATCCCCAGGGAGTAGCCTTGTTGGAGGTGGAACCCAGTCCCATATCCCTCCACCACTCACAGCCAGGACTGGATTTCCTCATGCATGGGGAGGCGTGGGGGTGTGTAGGTGGGCAGTACCCCGAACGCTAATCCCACTGGACTAGGTGAGGGAAAAGTGTCTCTCATTCCATACAATGTTCAACATGCAACGTAGATGGGAATTGACTGCTGGAGCCCAAATAAAATGAAATTAAAATTGTGAGCTGAGTCTCAGGATTGCCTTACCAAAGAGACCAAGGAGAATGCTACTCATTGCGTGTTCGTGTGTCTTGGTCTACATGGTATCTACCCACACATCCATT